GTCTGGTTGACCTCCTCAGCCTCCGATGGCAATGGACAGAATTGATAGTATTATGAGTAGGGGCCTCTCCTCACCCGAGCCCCGCCGGGTGTCAGAAGCCAGGGGGTGGGGCGCCCCCTGAGGTCACCGCCGTGGTCCCCTCCCATCAGTGCGCCACCGCCGCGCTCCTCGCGGTCCCCGAGGAGAGATGCCGCCTTCTGCACAAATCAGCGCTCGGCCCCCACGCGGGGCGGGCGCGGCGCCGCCGGGTGTCAGAAGCCAGGGGGTGGGGCGCCCCCTGAGGTCACCGCCGTGGTCCCCTCCCATCAGTGCGCCACCGCCGCGCTCCTCGCGGTCCCCGAGGAGAGATGCCGCCTTCTGCACAAATCAGCGCTCGGCCCCCACGCGGGGCGGGCGCGGCCTAGGACAGGAGCCCGGCCCAACCTACTGCGCGCCCCCTTCCCAGCGGAGGGTCCCTCTCCACGCCGTTCCCACCGCCTGCGCGCCGGCCGCAGGGGGCGCTGCTCCCTGCCGATGCCGGTGCCCTGCGCGCCATCCGCTCGCGGGTCGGGCAGCCAGGCAACAAATGTTTCTGGGCGTAGGCTGTGTGCCCAGCTCCGCCCTGGCGCAGGGGTCGCCAGGCCATCCCCTCGAAGATTGCTGAGGCTTGGCCCGGGCGTGGGCGAGGGCAATAAAGGCGGTTGCCACACCCCGAAAGGGACGAGGTGAGGGCCGCCCAAAGAGGCTTTCCCTGCTGTCCTGGTGGAGAGTGGGGGCCCCCAGTCCCATCTTGTTCCCCCACCTCTAAGGAGCCAATACCACAGGCCCCTGTCTCCAGCCTCGCCTCCCCTCCAGCAAGCAGCCCTTCCAGAGCTGGTTTGGTGACCACTTTGACCCGTAGGGTCCCCGGGCAGCCCGCATGACTGGGCCATGTTGTCTCCTCTAGCTCCTCCAGCAAATTTGCCCTACACCCTGGGCTGGGTGCTGGGAGTGCAGGCCCCTGCTTGGAGCTGGTCACTGCCATGACGGGAGGCTATGCATGGCAGGCTTCCTGGAGGAAGAGCTCTGAAGGTGGCCTGGTTCAGGGGCTGGGGGCGTGGCAGAAGGGACTCCAGCGCAGGCACTGTCCTCTATCACCAGGATGTGCTGCCCAAGGGCCCAGTGCCTGGGGAATGAGAGCCGCCCACAGTGTCACCGCCCCACCCTGCTGAGCAGCCTCTCTGGGGTCCGGGCCTCAGGAGCAGTTGGGGGCCCCTGACAGGCTGGTCCTGGCTCCTCTCATTTCAAGGGTTCACCCCTCCCTGAGACCCCCCCCAACCCCCGTAAGCCAGGACAGGGCAGAACACAGCCAGGCACTACACAGAGACCCTGCTGAGCAAGGGCCTGTGCGCTGTGCCCAGAGCCCATCTTTCTCCCCGGGGCGGGGGGCGGGGGGCGGGGCACTGCAGAGATCTTCCTCTCTGCTCTGGCCTGGGGCAGGTCCTCGAGGCCCCAGGAGGGGAGAGGACCCTTCCCCAGTTCCGAAGGGCCCGGGACCCATCCCTGCCCGTCCTGCCCATGCCACTGCCCCACTACCCAGGAGACCCTGGGCACCTCTGCCCCACGTTTGGCCAAGCAGTGAACAAGGCAGACAGCCGCTGCCTATCCTGGTCAAGACTGGACGCAGGATTCAGACAAAGAACACAGAGCGACAAAGCGCAAGGATGCAGAAGACAGTGGGGAGGGGTCTGCTGAGGCAGGGGGCAGGCACGGGTCGGCCAGGTGAGCAGCTGGGGTCAGCGCTTGCTAGAGGTCTGAGCCCAGGGCGAGTGGGGACACGGTGGCCAAGGCAGGGGGCTTGGGGGCACAGGTGAGGCGGGGGGTGGCGAGCACCAGGCTGAGCTGGGCCTCCCCAGCAAAAAGACGAACAGACGTCACAGAAAGGAGCCGGGCTGGGCGGCTCCACACCCATGACTTCGGTTTCCACAAAGACTCATGGCTCCCGAGGGGGGCGGGAGGAGGCCATAGGGGCCGTAGGGCAAGAGAGGGGCTGGACGTGGAGGGGCTCTGGCTGGGGTTTCCAGCGTGAGAGAACGGCCCCCGGGTCCCCCTCCCTCATCCCCCTCCGAAGCTTCCTGCTCGCTGGCCAGCGGTGGCAGGAAAGAGGGCCTGCCTAGGCTGACCACAGGACTTGCTGTGCCACCATGTCCAGAGGCTGCTGCGTTTAGAGCTCTCTGTCTGCGGGAGGCACCAGTGGTGGACCTCACTCCATCTCAAGGTTCCAGCCCAGCCTGTCAGGGGACGCAGCCTTTCTGGGGCCTGCCCTGCCTTGGGAGGATGGGGCCCCCACCGACCCTGGCCCATCTGCCTCCCCAGCCCTGGGAGTGGGACCTGGGTGCAGCACCGGGGGTCGGCAGACCCAGCACACTCGTCCGCAGGGCAGGCTTCCTGCCTCCCTGACTAGGGTGCCACTCTGCAGGGGACAGGCCTCTTCCCCTCACTGTCCCCTCCTGCCTCCTCGGAGCCACACTCAGCCCTGGTGCCCAGGAGAGATACGTCAGGAAGGCGGGCACTTCAGAGGGCGGGGCGCTGGGGGCTGCTGGGGCGCCCCCTGCAGGAACCGCTGCAGCCTTGTGGGGGGGCCCAAGACCCAGTGGGGGCCGGGCTGCCCTGCCTCTTGCATCACTGCTCTGGGGCCACACGGCCCCTAAGTCTCCCGGTTCCACCCCCAAGCCTGGGCACTCCCCCTCTGAGCCCCTCCGCGGCAGGGGCTCCCCAGGGCGGGCTCTGAGGTGGGTGCTCAGCTTGTGCTGGACACGGTGCTGGTGGGTTGGGGGGCCCCTCGGCCTGGCCAGAGGCTTCAGGACCGGGCTGGGGTGCAGGCTGCCCGGCATGTGGACAGAGCTGGCTGGGCTCAGGAGTGAGCTGTGCTTCCGCCCGAGTTCTGCGGTGCTAAATATAGCGGCCAGGGAGGGGAGTTTCCGGTTACAGCCCCCCCATCAGCGCCGGGAAATCAATGCCAGCTCCATTAGGCTGAGCAGCGTGCCTGCTGACCTGCCCCGTCGGGCCACAGAGCAGAGTGAGGGGTTGGCGTGCACCCAGGTCTGGGGGCCCTGCCCCCGCCACCAGTCTGGAGCCCCGCATGCTTCCCAGGGCACAGGAGCCCCCAGACCCGCCAGGCCAGCCAGAGGGCCGGCGGGGCTCTGGGCTGGGCATTCAGCAGGCCACAAGGGCGGTAGGCAGGCAGGGCGGCTGGCTGGGCAGAGCTGCCCCCGGCCTGGTCCCCGCTGAGTGCACCCGGGCTGCCCGCTGCGGCCTCCTCTGGACAGTGTGGAGCTGGGCTGCCCAGGAGCCCACCACGGCCCAGCCGGCCGGCCTCCTGCACACGCCACATGCCCAAGGGCCCCCGGCAGCGTGGCACTCACCTGGCTGGGTCCCAGGAGGCCCCACCTGGGTCACAGCCGGCATTTGCATATAGGTGGTGCTGTTTGGGCACAGCTTCCTGAGGCAGCCTCGAGTGCCAGCCCCGGGAGCTGTCCACACCGGGCCGCCCTGGCTGCACTCAGCCACCAGCAGCCCCCAGCGTGCCAGCAGGAGGGAGGGACTGGGTGTCCCCGCATCATGCTCACAGGAAGCACCTGCTCGCCCGCCCACCGGGGTCAGCAAGGAGGCAGCAGACCTCGGTGCTCACGGGGCGCCCCAGCCGACAGTGGGGTCCCATCAGAAGCCTTTGCTGCAGCCCAGGGCCCAGTCCTGGGGGACACTGGGGCACCGAGCACAAAGCCAAGTTCACAGAAAAGCCCCTGGCCACTCAGTCCCTGGTCCTCGGCGGGGTCAAAAGGCCATGACCCAGGCTGCCCCCAACCTATGCCCTAAGGGACTGACCAGAGGGTTTGGGGGGCTCCGGGGAAGGGCCAGAAAGGGTCGGGTTGAGCCGCCACCTGAAAGATGCCAGTGGCATGGTGACCAGCGCACACTCTCCACGGGGGGGTCCAGCCTGCCCGTCCCTCATGGGCGCCTGGCTAGGCGGGCAGCTCCAGCAGCCCCAACCCTCCGATGGGCAGTGGCAGGGCAGAGAGGTCACGGCATAGGGGGTACCAGCCCAGCCCACCAGCGTGGGGACCTACTTAGCAGGGAGCAGGGAGCACGTGCCCTCCAGGAGGTGCAGCCTGCGGCCCTGTCTTCCTGATGGGGGCTGGCTCGGCACTGCCCCGTGGCCCAAGCTCTCTATGGCCTGGAGCCCCGTGGGCCCATCCTCAGGCCACGCTGCCCTCCCTGAGTGCTGCCTGGCCAAGCCTGTCCCCACAGCTCCTGCCCCTGGAGGTAGAGCTGAGGGACCTCGTGGAGAGCCTGCCATCCCCTGGCTGCCCTCTGCCCGCCCCAGTCACAGCTTGGAGCCAGTGGACACAGGCTGGAGCCACATAAGCCTTTATTGGGTCTGCAGGGTGGGTGGCCAGGACCGGCCTCTGGCCAGACCCTCTGCAGTCTCACTGGGGACCCAAGCCAGGGGCCACGCAGCTGAGGAACCACGAGATACCGAAGATGACCCCGAGGGTCTTGGGGACATCTGGGTTGTCCGCGAAGGCCTGGGCGCCATCCAAGGGCAGGTGCACAACCTCGATGAGCTCGCCCTCCTCGGCCAGGCCTCCACCGGGGCCGCTTCGATGGGCATCCGTCACCTCTGCGTAGAACATGGTCTGGCTGGAGCCGGTCAGTCCCACGCCAGACCTGTGGGGTGAGACAGCGTCTGCTGAGGCGCCGGCCACCCCTTCCACAGCCCTCTCTGCTCTGTGCCATCTGGCCCTCTGGCGGGAGGGGCTCCAGGACGCACCCCCTCCCACGGACACGCTGACCTTGAAGAGAGAGCGAGCGCCATGCTGTAAGGGGCCGCCCGGCCAGGCCTGTGGGCCACCGCACCTCAGGAGCTAACCATGGTCCCAGCCAAAGGCCCCCAGGAAACAGGGCCCTCAGTCACGCAGCCCCGAGAAGAGGACCCTGAGCCCCAGATGAGACCACAGCCCCGGCCGACGCCCGGACTGCAGCCTGGCGGGGCCCTGAGCGTGGCAGTGGGCTGCGGACCACCGCAGTGAGGCTGAGGGTGGCCAGAGCCGGCCGGTCTCCCTCCCGCAGGCGGCCTGCAGCGCAAAAGCTGGTGCGGGCCCCTCCCTCTGCTCACACTGGGCCCCCACCAGGGCCTACTTCCCCGGGGGGCCCTAACCGGCAGTCCCCTGAGCTGCGGAGGTCTGTGTGGACCCTGGCCTGCACACGGGGCTCCAGCAGGGCACAGCAGGTGCCAACGCAGCCTGCGTGAAGGGCTGGGGCTCGGGACACTGGTGGGGTGGGGTGGTGGCGCGGTCCCCAAGACAAAGCCCCATGGTCCCAGGGTGGAGAGGAGTGTGAGAGAGGCCCCTTCTCAGTGGGTGGTGGCCACCAGGAGGAAGACAGGCACCCTCACGGAGGGCAATGGCCCAGACTGGCACTAGTGGGGGGCAGCCGTGGTGACCGCTGGCTACGGGTACAGGGGTGGCAGATCTCAGAATGGGAGGAAGGGCTGAGCGTGGTTCGCAGGGGGACCCAGGAACCAGGCGATGTCTGGGGAGGTGTCAAGGGGACGAGGAGGAGGCCAGTCAGCCCAGGTGAGCTGAGGCCCAGGAGGCTGGCACGGTGGACGCCACCTTGGTGGTGCAGCCAGCGCAGGGCAGGGGGCAGGACTGCGGCCCCTCCCCGCCCCTGAGGACCACTCGGACTGGCCTCGTCCACCACTCCCTCCCGCCCCTGGTCTCCCTCAGACCCTTCCTGATGGCCCGTTTCCGCGGCAGCGAGGCCTGTGCCTCGGACGGAAGCGCTGTCTGGCGGGGTCTGGGGGGACTTCCAGTCTCTGCTGGCTTGTGAAGGACGCAGGCGTGGCCTTCGGCCCGGCCCAAGGAGAATACGCCCAGCCAGGCCAGACACTGCCTCTCCTCGCTCAATCATGTCCTTAGCCGGATCTGACAAGTGCCTGGGTCTTGTCACCTGTGACTGGCAGGTGAGCAGTCTGCTCGCCTCTGGGGCCATGGAGAGGAAGCCGCCGGCCCTGCTGCTACTGCCCGCCGGCCCCCATCAGGCCCACAGGAACGGCTGCCCGGACCTCCACGCCAGCCGCCTCCAGCCCCGCCTCCCTCCAGGCCACGCTTCGACTGCAAACGCAAGTCTGGGCGAGCTGCTTGCTGTCTGCAGCTCTCCAAGGCTCCCCAGCACCCCTAGGCCCACACCTCCACCTAGGCCCCCCTCCTCAGGGCCACCTGCCTCCCTGGTTGCTGGCCCCCCAGCCCAGCCGCTGGCCCACGCCCACCCAAGGACAGGCCCTTGGAGTCTCCACGTCCCATCCCTGACCGGCTCGGGGGCCCGGCACACAGCAGGCACCTGCAGAACACTGCAGCCCTCACCCCCAAGACACCCCCTTTCGCGTGGAACCCGCACTTCGCACGGAGGGTCTCCCGGCCCATCGGCTCCCCGGGACTGGAACCCAGGGTCCAGGGCCACACCCTTCGCCCCCAGAGGTGCTGTCCACCGCCCGCCCCTCCCCCCCGGCTCAAGACCCAGGCCTCCCTCATTCCTGAGTTGCTGTCAGAGCAGGTCTGTGACTCACCCACCCCCAGCACCCGGTGCCTAATCCCACAGGAAGTAGAGGCATCTGTCAGCAGCAGCTGCCACGGGAGCCCGCCCCACTCGGCCAGGGGCCACGGGGTGGGGACAAGGGCCCGGCATGCTCCAGAACCAGCTCCAAGAGCCCTGGGTCCCGCCTGGGCCATGATCTGAGAACAAGGAGGAACCACCCTGCCTGCACGCCCGGGGGGACAGGGTGCTTGCCGCCTGCGGGTGGCCTGCTCCGCGCCCTGGGTGGGACACCTCCCCCCGCCCTGCAGGTCCCACGCACTTGTAGGTGGCCACCCGCTGCAAGTTGGCCGGCGCCAGGTCGTAGCCGCACTCCTCCCGTGCCTCCTTGCAGGCCACTTCCTCCAGCGAGAGGCCAGGCTGGTCCACGAGGCCAGCACACAGCTCGTACGTCACGCCCGCCGAGCCGGGCAGTGCCCCCGGCAGCAGCCGGGGCTGGTCCTGGTCCAAGGCTGCCAGGGACCCAGGAAAGTTGCGTTCCACCTCGCTCGCGTACACAGCTGGCCAGGGGAGGGCAGACCACGGTCACCACCACGTGGATGCCCCCTCTATGGGACCCACGGGGGCCCGACACCCTCCTTACCCGTGCTCCCCAGAGCCCCGAGAGCTGCTCTTGCAGGGCCCCCCTCCCGCCCCTCCCCCCGTCCGGCCCCCGCACCTGGCCGGAACTGCTTCACCAGCACCAGGCTCCTCTGGGAAGAGTTGAACAGGAGCACGGTGACACTGAAGGGGCAGAGGGACAGAGCTCAGCGTCACTCACTCCCGCGGGCCCCATTCCCAGCAGCCCGGAACTGGGTCCCGTGCTCAGGTGGGGAGACTGAGGCCCAGGCCTACCGTATGCCAGGGGAAGGACACACTGGGCCGCTCGGGGGCCAGGTGACTGACGTGACACGTGGCCCCTGCCAGCTGCACTGGAGCCATGTCGCTGTCCTGCCCATCGCCCGGTGCTTGGGGAGGGCACCCAGATGGCCTGTCTCAGGCCCTGCCCACCACCATGCCCCAGGGGGCCTGAGCTGGCACACAGCCCAGCCTCCGGGCCTCGGTGAGGATGAGGCGAGACGGGACATTCATGAGGCAGGCTGGGGCTCCAGGTCCCCGGTTCCCAGTGTCCCCATCCCGGGCCCTCACCTGTCATGTGTCTTCATGAAGTCCCACGATTTCTGGGTGCCATTCTGAAAGAGGCAGAGGTGGCGGTGCCGTGGGGAGCTGAGGCCAGACGGCCACACGGCTCCGCCCGGGCAGGTGTGCTCACGGCCGGGGCCCCCCAGAGTGGGGACTCCCACGGGGTGGGGGGCGGGGGAGGCCGGGCTGGGCAGGGATGCTCTGGGGGCTGAGGCAGAAAACCAGGGCAAAGGGAGGAAAGGCGTCTCGGGCACCACCCAGCACAGGTTAAGTTCAAGGAGCTGCAGAGAGATGGCCGCTGTCCCCAAGTGTGGGAAAGACCACGGGGCATGGGGCAGGGGCAGCCTGCTGTACCCTCACAGTCAGGGCGGGTGGGTCCCACGCGGGCAGAGCTAAAATTCCCTCGGGCCACTGGACAAAGGGAGATGGGAAGGCGGGGGGGGGCAGGCCGGGCCCTGGGGCAGCAGCAGGGGCACCTGAGCCAGGTGGGAGCACATGCTCAGGACGTGGGGCTTCAGTGACGGGGACTGCACAGTGGGATGGCGCCCCCCCACTGGCCCAGTGTCTGTCTTGGGCTGTCTCTCACACCTCCTGTGGTCCTGTCGGCCTGTCGCTTCCGTCCACCACCCTGCTGCCCCCACCCCGGGCACCCTGTCCCGATGGGCCCAGGCTCTGGGCAGCACTGAGTGTACGAAAGAGGCAGTATGGGCGGAGCCTGGGCTGGGCTGGCCGCAGCAGGCGGAGCAAACGCTAACGGGGGTCCAGCAGGTGCCAGGGTCCTGCCAGCTGGACAGCCCTAGATGAGGCGGGCTCCCGCCCTCGAGGCTAGAGCAGGCAGTGGCCGTTCCACCCAGCTTACCCCTCCCCAAAGGGATCCTGCAGCGGGGGATGGACCTGGAGCCCTGTGCTGTGGCCGCCCATTGCCAACCCCTCCGTCACTGGGTCAGCCCACAGGGCCTAGCGAACTGCTGGCTCCACTTCTGGGGTCCGTCCAGGCCCCGAAATGGACGTGTGCCTGAGCGCCAGACACAGACAGCACAGCCGGGGCTGCAGGAGACAGGGGGCTAGGGGACAGCCTTTGTGAGGACTTCCTGGAGGAGGTGGCGCCACACCAGGCCCCACGGAAGTGAGGGAAGTATAGTCCGGGCAGGGGAACCTCACGGGCAGAGGCCCACATGCTGGGCTGAGCTTGGCCGTGAGGGGTGGTAGTGACCTTGGTCTCTAAGGGGCAAGCTGGGCTGCCTAGGAGGCTGTTCTCCAGCACTGCCCGCAGAGGCAAGCCCGGGCCTGCCTGCAATCCGCCACCCCAGGGCCAGCCAGCCACCCAGGACGGGCTCCAAGGAAGGCCTGCCCCCAGTCTGCCATGTGCCTGCTATGCTCCCTGCCTCCCTCAGGGTAAATGTGACCTGTGCAGGTTTCACGGACTCTCTCAGCTCAAGATCAAAACTGTCAGACCCTTAGGTCCAGCCAAGGTGGGGTGCAGGGGAAGGTCAGAGAGGCCTGCTGAGGCCGTCAGCACCCCAGCCAGGGCCCCGGCCCGCTCGTGGGCCCCGGGCTTGGCTCATCTCGCAGGGACCTGGGAGGGATGGACAGGGCTGCAGTGAACACAGGCCTCTCCCCTTAGAGCCCCTGCCTCTAGTCTGTCTGCCCCCCAGACCTCCCCTGGCCAGGCCTGCAGAGACCTCACGGCGGCATGCACTGCCCTGCCCAATGTCCTGTGGCCCCAGAGGGAATGCTGTCCTGGCCCCCCAGCTGTGCCCGCCATAGCCTGCCACCTGCATGGCTCACTTCTGGCCACCAGCAGCCATCGGTAGGAAGGTGCCTGCAGGAGCCCGCCCAGGCCTTAGCCCTTCACAGCCACGGGCCCAGCAGGTACGGGCCCAGCAGGTACGGGCCCAGCAGGTACGAGCCGGGACCATGCTGTGCCCACCTGCTGCTGCCCAGAGCCCCCACCCCTTGGGGGCTGTGCTGCCACCATTGGGTATCCTGCCCCAGGCAGCGACCTCCATGTCCCTCACCTCTGTCCCGCAGCCCACTCCTGCTTCTGCCCCAGGCCAGCGCTGCCAACCTGGGTGCACCCTGGGGCGATGGGAGTGCAG